GGTCCCCTCCCTCTGCCAGACTCACCCTGGGGGATCGAGGGGGAGCTGAAATGCCCCTTGGGCACCTGAGTGGTCGTGGCCTGGTTCAGGAGCCGAATGCAGCCTCAGCAGGGGCCAGGAGGCCACAACCTCCCTGAGCCCATGACCTCACTGACCTCCCTGAGCCCGTGACCTCACTGACCATGGGCACCCCTCCCCCGAGCTGATGCTGCTGATGAGCGTTGATCCCCGGGCTTCAATCCCTGATGGCCCCTTCATCTTGCAAACCCGCAGCCGCCCGCGGCTTTGACGTCGTGCCCCGGGCTCGGTTTGCTTTGATTTCAGGGTGTGCCAGGAAAGATGTGGACACTGACGACCTCTGACCCTTCCTACTTGCCAACACGCAAAGGCAGGTTTGTAAGTCCGTGCACAGGCGGACCCCTGGAGCAGCGAGAGCGGGCTATCCAGTGTCGGGCTTGGGACACAGGAGCTTTATGAAGCAGGGACTCTGGGGCTGAGAGCCTGACATCTGGTGGCGGGAGGGTCTGAGCCGCCGACACTGCCGACCCGGCCCGCACGGGCCCCTCATAGGACATGCGGCCCCGGGCTTCCTTCCCGCTCTGCCGCGGTCTCTGCACACCTGGGGGTCACAGGACGGGGAGGGGCAGGAGAAGAGGGTGCTGGCGTTGCCCAGGGACCAGTTCCCGAGGCAGGTGCCGTGGACACAGCCAGGGGGCAGGTCAGCAGGAATGCCTCCTGGCCCTGCGTCCTCCCTCCTCCACCCCAGCCCGAGGGAGAGCTCAGAAAGTCAAAGATACACAACTCCGGGTCACCAGGGCCCGAGGCTGTTTAAAGATCTGATTCTAACAGCAGTGGACTCCCTTTCAAAACCAGTAAAAAGAACAAAACAGGAAGGCAAGGAAATGCCAGCAGAGCTGGGCCAGCTGAGGTGTGAGGGGCCGTGAAAGAGCAGGCCCCAGGGGCTCTGAGGCCAGCGGACCGGGGGAACAGAGCCCACCTGCATGCCCCGGCCCCCGAGGGGGAGCGGCTCTCATGCAACCCTTTCCTTAGCATCTGCGGACACACACTGCCTCTTTGTTTTGCATGAATATCACACTACGTGTGCTCTGGGACTGGATTCTAGCATGTGGGTGTAATTCCCGGGCATCTGGAAATGCACGGGTTGATTTTCACACGTGCACTCACCCATCTGATCGCCAATCATGACACGGAACATTCCAGACCTGGGGAGAGGCGCCTCTGGCCCTGTCCTACAGCCCCAGCGGCCCACCCTGCACGGCTGGCCGCTGTCCCCATGGTGCCTTCCACTGTTCTTCAACCCGATACAATCCCCACACTCTCGTGTCCAGCTTCCCGCACTCAGAGCCACGCTCCTGAGAGCCGTCTGTGCTGCTGGGAGTGACAGTCGGGTTCTCTCCGGGACTCCCGCCACGAACATGGGTGCCTGCCCTGGCCCTTCTCCAGTTTGGGGCTGAGGAACAAAGTCAGTGTGTCACGCGCATATCTGTGTGGAGACGTGGGACTTGCCAGGAGCCTGGCCATCCTCACCCAAAGGGTCTCCGTGCTGGACGATCCACTCGCTTTCCCATCCACACAGAGCCCACCGTCCTGACAGCTGGCACCGTGGGGACACCGTGCACACATCTGTGGGGAGACGGACTCCAGGAGGGAAAGCCACAGGGTCTGTCTGCATAGACGCCTGCTGGGCGTGGCCAGCCCGGACCTCACTGCCCTCCAGGTGGGCCTCCCCCAGACACAGCGGTCCCGAGTGCTCGGTGGGCCCGGTCTGCCTTTCCTAAGACCCGCAGGGTCATTTCTCCGTGGCTGCGGCTCCCATCCTGGGCGGTCACTTTCCCGAGCCACCACGTCCCCTGGCCGCCGGGAGGAGCAGGCATGTGAGCACGGTCCCTCCGCGGGCACCAATCGGGGTGTGCACTGTGCTGAAGGTGCCGTTCCCTGGAAAGGACTGTTCTAGAAAACCCGACATACATTTTCTACGGACCTTCTATAGTTACCGTTAGCTTGTTACTCGGGTTGGGTGGGTGAAGCCTGAATTCGGTGTCCCTTGCACAGACAGCTAACTAACCCAGCAGCGCGCACCGACAGCCTCTCCATTCCTATGGACTCGAATGCCACTGTCATTAAAGCAAACCGAGCCCACCTCCCCACGGCTCTGGCCCCACCCACGAACCCCTCATTTCATGCACCCCGTAGTGTGCTCCACACACACAGACGCACAGCGTTTTCTTTTCCCCTCCTGGGTTTTTCTGGGGGTTTCCCTGCCCCTCCACAAAAGTTAGTGTGGGGGCTGCCTGCTCGGGGAAGGGCCCCTGGCAGGGAGAGGGTGTGCACAGCCGGCTTAGCAGCTGGCGGTCCTCTGTCTCTCTGGAGCTCACCCCGCCCCCAGCCGGCCCCCCGGAGATGCTGGACACGGCAGGGAGGACAGGCTGTAAGACTCCAGCACGGTCAGTACTGACCTGCACACCGTATAAAACACGAAACCACACCAAGGGGCTCCCCACAGGTGGGTCTGGTGCCCATCAGACCTCCGCACTCTGGAGCCCGACGCATGCTCAGAGAGGACACGCTCGGCCTCCGATCCGGTCGTGCCCCCGACCACACACTCACGGCACTGGTCATGTGCGACCACCACCCACACACTCACTCCGGTGTGATCGGCACCAGGGGCTCCCACACCGTTGTGACGTCAGCATCACCGGAGGGTTTGGCAAATCACGACCGGGCTCGCCCAGGGTTCTGACAGAGGGCCGGGGGCAGCGGAGAGCCTGCCTCTCCCGGAGAATTCTCAGGTGTTGGCGATGGCGGTCTAGGACCCTCTCCGAGAAGCGCTATTCATTAAAATCATGCCGCCGGTGCTCGCGGAGAAGGCAAGCCGGTGCTCCCCCACCACGCTCCCCACACAACCCAGTTCTGCCCAAGGACGGCCCTGCTGGCCGGCTGGCCCCCCAGTGCCCCAAACTCTGAAGCCCCCACCTCAGCCAGAACGAAGACGTCCTTTCAGAGTTTCCAGCTATGAGAAGTGCGGGACCCCATATCTTCCTGAGGCTTCCTTGCCTCTTGGTGGTGGGTGTCTGCCTTCCTAGGCAGAGTGGGAGCCTCAAAGAGACGGCACACGGCCCGGGCAAACCAAGCACGGCAGGCCGGCCAGGCCCAATGCCAGAGCGGCCCTTTTGGTTTCCAGGTGAGTCAAGGCCGAAGCACTGTGTGGTGCAGAGACCCCCACCCGCCGTGTGTTCCCTTCCCGGGTGGGCAGGAAAGAGAAGGCACGTACAGTGCGGGACCGTGTGGACGAGCTCGGAGCACCGCACCTCTGGCTCTGTGCTAGGACACTCTTCCGAGCAGTACAAAGGGACGTAGCCATTGCCTCTGCATTGCTCTGTCTACGTTATTTCTGGGGGAAGAAAACTACCTGCTCCTCCAGCACGTAAGGGAAAATAACACCCCATTGATGATTTCCAGAGACAACAGCTCTCATTCCCCCCCAATGGCAATAAGCTGCAGGGGGCGGCAGCTACGACTTGGTAATTTCACACGAACGCACATGCCCGTCGTACCCGCACGTCTCCGTCTTCCTCGCACGCGAGATGACCGTGTGCGCACATTACCCTCGTCTTGGGGCTGCGCGCCAGGCAAGGCAGGAAAAGCGAGCTGCTCGGCATGGCCCTGGAGTGCGCGTGGCTTTCCGCAGGCAAGAGAGAAGGTTATAACCACAAACAGTAACAACTTTGGAATTTCCTGCCCCATCTTATTGAAAACACAGAAAAAACACGAGGCTCTTCTTCTGCCTGTCACAGGGAAAGCGCTGTAAAATGGGCAAGAACCTTTCAGAAATACGGCTCCGAGGCTGTGGGGGCAAGGAGGTGTGGCTCACCGTCCCGCGAAGGGGAGAGTCATTTTGCTACTTCGGTACAACTGCTGTCCTACATCGAAAACACCAAGCCCAGGTGAGCCACGTGTTCACACTGACTTCCGTGCATGTAGCCACGGGCCCGTGTTTCCTAGAAAGCAACCTAAAACACAAATTTTAAATATTTTCATCTCAGAAAGCGAACGCTTTTATTCTGTAGAACATCCTCAAATCAAACACCATTGTGACTTCGCTGCCAGAAGACTATTCCGGAGCGCCTCCCTGCACACCCAGACAGGAGAGCCCCTTCGTCTGAATACGCGCCCGCGCACCCACCACACAGACATGGCAGACACAGCACGGCCCACGCGTGACCTGCCCAAACAGGTCCGTCAGCAGGATCCCGAGTGGACGGCATCTTACTTCATTTACAGGACAGCCAAGTACACACAGAAATACATAAATAACTAAATGAGTGTTTGTTGTTCATAAGCCACAGAACTCATGTTCGTTTTACAAACACATTTAAATACACCTTCCGTGTCTCCCTGGTCATGAAGGAGTCACACTTGCCGGCCGTCCCATACATAAGAGAACCACAGTGTTTCCCAGTAGAAGGGGCAGGCGGCAACAGCGCGCGTTCTCTGTGCACAAACAGTGGGCGTGTGTGAACCTGGCTCTGACCAGGGGGTTCCGCGGTGCTTCGTACGAACGGACGCCAGGAGTTCACCTGTCCAGCACAGAGGCTCGTGCTCGCCTGGCGCTCGCACACAAAGGTACTGGCCGCACTGAGAGCACAGGGCCCAGACCTTGGGGCGGCCGGTGCGTCGTAGGGGAGCCCCGCCCCCACCCCTCCCCCGTGTCACCAACGGACAGCTGTATAATTGCACACTCACTTTTCTACACACAAACGCTTTAACATGAGCATGGTAACGGTTGACCTCGATCCCCAAAAAGGAGCCACATTATTAAGATGGAACCAAACATGAGGCTCTTCCTCTGCCTGTCACAGGGGAAGCACCGTGGCTGCCTCAGCAGGCGCCGCCGGCTGCTCCCGAGGACCCGTGCGCACCCCGCTCCTCGACACCCGGCCTGTCTCCTGGCCGGAGCGGCCTCCCCCAGCTCCCCTTACCTCAGAACAAAGCAGCTCTGGGAGGTCGGGAAGGGCCGGCTGGATGCGGCTATCAGACAGATGGCCACCCTCCTTGTCTAGAGAAGATGAAATGCTAGAGGAGAGAAATCAGAGTGGGTTTTGTCCTAACCAAAGGAGGCTACAAATCCCATTGGCCTCAGGTTGGAAACCTCGTGACATGGGACCGGGCACATGTGACCTACTTTTCGCCCAGCTCCCCTCATTCCGTTGGAGGGGTGCACCCGGCACGGATGTGCTGTCATTTCAATGACTCCTTCCCCGAACAGGGGCCAGCGCACACATCGGCATGCCTGCGGGCCACGGCTGCCGCGCTCTGCCCTCGGAAGGGAAGGCGTGGGTGGGCCCCGGTGACGGAAAGGCGGCTCCTAGGGCCCGAGCAGTTGCTGCTGCTGTCAGCCGTCTGCCGCGGTCGGGCCTCACACAAAGCAGGCCCTGCTGACGCATTCGGTCCCAGAACTGCAGCATGGGGTGCCTGAAGCAGGACAAATTGCAAATTCTGTCCTTTCCCCATTTTGTCTTTGTGCATGCGCGCGTGTACGTGTGTGTGTGTGTGTGTGTGTGTGTGTGTGATCCAGCGCGGCCAGGTCCAGGCCTAGAAGCAAGCTGCATGCTTAAGCCTAGAAACGCGCGAGCACCGTGTGTTCTTGAGAGCCGCCCTGACGCAGGGCTCTGGCGTGGGCATCGCTGACAGGAGGCCAGATGTGGCCCCGTGAGACGTGCTGGGGAGGCACGTCTGTCACTGGGCAGGAGACAGTCGCCCTCGGTCCACCTTCTACTGAGCACCAGAGCTCACCAGCTCACATGAAATCGGATGCAGACAAACGGTAAGACCCGTCACAGGAGAGGTAAAAACCTGGACGCAGGGAGGAGCTGCCGGCCGTGAGGACAGGCTCTGGCGCTCAGGAGCCAATGAAGGGACACAGGAAGTGGAGGCCCGCGGGCCCACCTGACCGAAGTCAGCCCGCGTGTTCACTGCAGGACAACAACTGAACACAGCACAAGCACTGGCTGCTCATTACAGGAAAAATAGAAAATGCACGTAATAAGCGCACAAAATAACCCGTAACGTCATTGCTCAGAAAAGACCACCAGCGAGAGTGCGCAGTTTGGAGGCTACCCAGTCAGACTTTTGTCTAGGAGCTGTGTGTGTCGTTGCATTTTTTTAATAAAAATAGGACCAAACCTTCCACATTTGTCCTGTTTTTCTCATTTAACATTATGGATGAAAATATTTTTCTACATATTTAAATCTACACGACAATGATCACATTCCCCACGGTATTTTTTATTATTCTTATTATGCGTAAAATTTTATGCATTTTTATGTAGAAAAATGTAACCAATCTGGAATGCTGGTATTTCCAGGTTTTTGAGTTGTTATATATTTTTTTAAGATTTTATTTATTTGAGAGAGAGAGAGCAGGAGCTGAGGAAGGGGAGCAGCAGACGGAGAGGGGGAAGCAGGCCCCCCGCTGAGCAGGGAGCCCGATGCAGGGCTCGATCCCAGGACCCCGACATCATGACCTAAGCCGAAGGCAGAGGCTTGCCTGACTAAGCCAGCCAGGCACCTGGAACGGTTCTATCAAAGAACGTTTCCACAGCCCTCCTTGGTGGGCCTCTCCCCGCCCCTCTCTGGCTCCGCCGGAACACGTTATTTACAGATATTCTTCCCGGGTGGAAGGACACGCGTGCTCGAAGCTCGGCCAGTGACACTGCGGTGACGAGGGCCGTTGCCTGCACTCCACATGGTGTGGGCAGCTCTGTCCTCAGTGCCCAAATGAGCCCTGAGTCCCGGGGACATCAGCCGCTCGGGGCCAAGCAAGGAGGAGGTACTGCAAGCCGGCCTGAAGCCAGCCCTGCCGTGTGTCTGGCCCCACCGGCTACTCCCCACCTCGCAGTGGGTCTCTGTGGAGGACCCATCCTCACTCTGGGGCGGTCGAAGGAAGGAGTGGCAGAGTCCCACACGGCTTGCTCCCAGTCCTAAAGCTCAGGCCATGGAAACCTGGCTCTTGCCCACCAGACAGCCAACAGTGCCAAGTGCCACTGAGGGCCGGGGGAGGACTGGACGCCGGCTGGCGTGTCTGGCCAGCGCAGGCCTCGGCCCTCGACAGGCAGGTCTGGTGCAAGATAAACAAGTGGTGACAGCCAGGCCAGAGTCCAGGGGTTTCCACAAGCAGATGTACTGCCTCGGGGCATGCCGGCCTGTTTGGTGCAGGGGGGAAGCAGAGAGAGCCTAGATGGATGGGAAGTGGTACAAAGGAGGGAACGGAAGGACCAGAGTCATCAGCCAATAGAAGTGGCTGAGGGTATGGGGGCCACAGAAGAGAAGGAGGGGTGCAGCCCGGAGGTCCAGAGAAACCAACGGATGGGGGCACCTTGGGTGCTGGGGGCAGCCAAGAGAAACCAGGCCAGGCGAGAACTGAGGGTGTGACCTTGGGCAGTTTCGGGGTAGAGGGAACACTGCAAATAGGGTGGGGGATCCCCACTGGGAGCACCACACCACCCAGGGGTTGGCCAACTGGGGGCACTCAGGGGCTTCAGGGTCATTGGGACATGTTGGGTTCAGTGGCCAGTCACTTCCTGGATGGTTGTGGGTTTCCTGTTCTTATGTCCACCCACTGCCTCTGCAGCCATGTCCCGTGCCTGACACGGGGTCAGATGCCCAGACCACCAAGTGTGTGGGTACCTGGCAAATGGAGTCAGGCAGAGGGCAGGCTGAGGAGTAATGCAGGGCCCCCCAGCATGCGTCCAGCTGGGCTGGAAAAGGGGCAGAAAGCCCTGTGTGGGGTCCCCTCGGCTCCCAGGTCCGGTGAGCCACAGCCGGCTTGAGCTCCAGAGGTGCCTGGAGAACCTGGTCAGCCTGGGCTCTGATTTGCATAGCTGGGCGCAGTCCGGACCACAGTCTGGGACAGGTCAGTCACCACAAAGGACCCTTCCCGTTTGACTCCCATCCAGATCCAGCAGAGTTCAAGGCCACCGTGACCAGTCACTGACATTCAGCCCAAACAGACACACCTGGGAGCTGAAATGGATTTAATCCTCCTCGATGGGAAGAACAAAGAAAAGAGCAAAACAGCACAGGCCGCAGGCTCGGGGAACTGGGTCAGGCACCACAGGGTTAAAACGCTGAGCTGCAGTTCACAAATGAACAAGCCCAGACAGAGACCCCAGGGGCAGAGGAGCAGCTGCTCCTGAGAACAAGGGGAACCTCTGGGAGCTGTGCTGAGTTCTGGGACGCTCAGCAGATGCGCGTGTTTCTCTGCCAGCCACGCGGGGGCACGCTACCGCAGAAGCCACGGTATTTATGCGGCGAGTCTGGGTTAGCAAATGGTATGGCTTAAACATCCTCAACGGCCAGCGCCGTGTCTCCACGTGAGCAAGGCACCCTCAAACGTGTCCTCGAGGCCTGAGCAAAGCCTGTGTGACGTGAAGACACAGGAGAATAAGGTACAGCCGGGCTGGGGATGAGCAAGGCATGTGCACCGTGGAAGGTGCTCGAGGCCTCAACGTGAGGCCAGGGAAAGTGGGTTCTGCCGGCCCAGAACCTGTAAGGCAGAGAGTCTGGACCTCGGGGTCCTGGAGTGCACAGAGGCACAAAACACGCACACTCTGTGCACTGCAACTCCCCCACTCCCGGCGCATGTGCTGCTGTATGCACGCATACATACACACGCTGGCCACTTGTGAGCCGTCACCACGTGCACGCACGCTCCCCCACCCGTACGTGGCGCTCCTTCCCGGCACAGCCACACACATGGCGCCATAGCCCTGCACACACGGAAGGACTGTCGGTAGGGCTGGGCCAGCAGGAGCTCAGCACAGGGGCCCTGCATGAGGTTGGTACTCATTTATGGGGCACCCAGTAAACAAGCGGACACCAGACTTAGCTCTTCGGCGTCCCCCCCCACCAGCCCCAGCATCCTTTAGAAAATGGTGGGAGGAGGGCCAGGAGGGATAAAAGCAAGGAATACTTAGGGGAAAACAGTTCTAAGGGTTCCCACCCTCCTCCAACATTCAAGGGAAAGGCCATGGATAACATTCTGTCTCAACCCCAGAGCCAGCCAGGAGCTGTTAGTTCAGAGTAACAGTCATGAAATTACATATTAACCCAAATGCATTGCATGTTTTCCACTCTCGCAGGACACGTAACCATGCTGTCCCTACATGATCACATGCGGTGTCTGCTGCCTTTCTTTGTTAAACATCCTGGCGCTGCTCCCCAATGACACCACGTCATAGACAGAAGAGGGTCAAATACATATCGCATCGGCTCCCTGTCCTCAGGCTGACTTTGACTTTGTTACCTGCGTCCCTGGTAAACAGACAAGCAAACAGAGGGTCCTTCACAGTCACTCACCTTCCCCCATAAGCAGGCGCGAGGGGTCAGAGCAGATCCATAGACAGAAACTGGTCGGACTCACTGTGACCTAGAGCATCACAGCTGGGACTGGTGACTGACAGGGCGACTCCGTCCCGGAGCTCACCTACCTGAAACAGAACACAGGGTGCGTGAGTGAGCACATCCGCGCCCTTGTCCCTCGGGACGGAGCTTCCGCACAACTGTTTCCTGCATTCGACAGAGGAGCAGACAGGCCTTCAGCATTCACGTAAGGCACGTGCGGGATATGGAGATGAAGTGCCAGTGGGAACGTGCCCTGGGCATCCTGCCTTCTATGTCCCGAGTGAGGCAGCTCACAGCATGAGGAGGCGTCCGCTTCACAAGTGAGGAGCCCGAAAGAAGAGCTTTGGTGGAACCATGTCGACTTTTGAGAAGGTAAATGGAACAGTCAACCTTCTACGACAATATTTAGTCCCATTCTCTTCCTCTCCTTCCCCCTCCACTGATTTCAGAGTAACAGTCATGAAATTCCCTATTAACCCAACGCGCCGCTGGTCTTCCACTCTCGCAGGACGCGTAACCATGCCGTCTAACCCACCCCGCCCTGGTCCGGCGCACACGCGCGTCCAGGCAGACCTGCCTTCCGCGCTGCTGGGTGTTTTTCTAGAGACTGTCGGTCTCACCTGGGTCTAAGTGTCCCGACTTTTTACCTTTCAAATTCACTTTGGTTGCCCAAACTGGAAATTTAATCCCCAGTCACAAGTACCTATTTTCATTCACTATCCTTTATGCTGTGTTACAATTCCATTCCCGAAGTGTACATGTATGACCTTCCTGTGAATTATTGTGACAGATACCTTAAAAGGCTTATTTACGACAGCACCCAACACTTGGAATTGTGGTCATAGCACCAAAAATAATTAGAAACCTAAGTCCAATGTCTTTGCCTTTCTCCAAGTCAGTCAGGTAACCACTTGCGTCAATAAACCACAGCACTGACTGACTGTGCTCCAAGCTACAGTGTCTTACCCATGTACCACACTGCGATTCAAAGTGAAACTAACTGGAGAAAACCAAATTCGAGGAAATTCCATGAAAGGTGCTGTGAAGCAAGAACCGCCGTCTTTCATATAGGCACCCAATGCCTCAGTCGGGATGAGTCGTACACGAACACAGTAAGAGGTTCAATGTGTTACTGACTAGAGGACCAGAGAGGCCAGATCTGTTGAGTTAGGTCTTAAGGTCGGTCAGTGGGAATTCATCAGAAAGCACTGGAAGTATTTCAAAGAGGAACGCTGTGAAGATTCAATGGGAAGGAATCGCCTTTGCAACATATTGTGCTGGGGGAAATGGACATCCAGATGCAAACAATGAGCCTTACAATACATATGAGCATTAAGTAAAAATGGACCAAAGACCTAGACTTACGAGCTAAACTACAAATGCTTATAGAAAACATGAGGAAAAATCTTTCTGACGCTGGATTTGACAATGAGGGTCTTGTGGCTACACCACCAAAAAAGCATAGGCAACGACAGCAAAACACAGACAAAGTAGACTTAATCAAAGTTAAGACCTTCTGTACTTTGAAGGACACTACCAGGAGAGAGAATTCAACCAGGAGAATAGGAGAAAACACTTGCAAATCATGAGAAGGGATTAACACCCAGACCACAGAGAGAACTCCGGCAACTCAATAGTGATTTTTTTAAATGTGCCAAAGATCTGAATACGTATTTCCCTAAGGAAGATGGACAAATGGCCCAAGCACATGAAAAAGATTCTCAACATCGCTAGTCATCAGAAAAATGCAAACGAAAACCACAATGAGATGCCACTTTGCGCCCAGTTGGGACGGCGATAATAATAACAAAAGCAGCAACAGGGACGATAATGAGGAGGAGAGTGAGCAGGAGGAAGAGGAAGAAGAAAAACAAAATTACAAGTGTCAGCCACGATCTGCAGGAACCGGAGCCTTCGTACACTGCTGGCGGAACTACAAAATGCTATGGCCACTCTGAACGGTCTCGCAGTATGTCACGAAGCTGAACGTGGAGTTACCAATGACCTAGTTAGTGACTCCACTCCAAAGGGTCCACACGTGAGAGCTGAAAACGTATGTTCACACGAAAACTCGCGCATGAACGCTCACAGCAGCAGTCGTCACAGCAGCCGCAGAGTGGAAACAGCCCAAATGCTCTCCCTTATGAAGGGACAGACACGACGCGGTATGTGCACGCAACGGAGTATCACTCAGCCGCGCGAGAAGGCAGCGGGCCTTCAAATGCAACACGGGCGAAGCTGGCAAACACGGATGCCAGATGCAGGAAGCCACGCGCAGCACGACCCCATGTAGAAGAGATGCCCGGCGAGGCCAATCACAGACAGGAAGTGGACGGCTGGCTCCCAGGGCTGAGGAAAGGGGACCGGGGCAGGTGATGGGACTAGCACTGGGCATGCGGCTTCCTTTCGGACAATGAAGTGTTCTAGTCTGAAGTTAGTGGTGACGGCTGCACACCTCTGTGACTCCACTAGAAACTGCTAAAATGTATGCTTTGAATGTCTAGAGTTTGCGGTATATGAATTACACTCGATTTAAAAAAAACAAAGGCAGGGGTCCCTGGGTGGCTCAGTCAGTAAAGCACCTGCTTTCAGCTCAGGTCATGATCCTGGGGTCTTGAGATCGAGCCCCGCCATCGGGCTCCTTTCTCGGCAGGGAGCCTGCTTCCCCTTTTCCCTGTCCTTCTGCCCCTCCCCCAGCTCGTGCGGTCTCTCGCTTTCTCTCCAATAAAGAAATAAATAAGATTAAACAAACAAAGGTAATCAATACTCAAAAGTTAAAAGAACAAAGTAATGAAAGACCCCTCCCACGAAACACGCGGAAGGAACGTTACAGAAGGGGCGCCTACATCACACAGAACAGAAAGGCACAAACTCACAAGTACTCGACGGCCAGGAGAAGAGAGACCAAGCAGACGAGCGGTTAGCACAATACTGGAGTCTGGACAGTGGATGAAAACGTGGTTACTAATTTGGCAAAGTCAGGAAAGCTGAAACCCAAGCCTCTGAGGGGAGAGGCCCCCCGCACAGCAGCCGGTTCTTGCGTCTTCCAGAACGGCTGCAAAGGGAGGGGCCGGAGGCAGGTGAGGAAAAACGGGGTAGTAATTAGAGTTTTCTGTAAGGCGTTTGGCCCCAGAAATCCTCTGGCTCTTTTCTTCCATGGATAACAGGAGGCTTCGCCTCTGCAAAGGGTGACTCATTCAGGATACAGACTCAGTGACGAGCGGTTCTGAAGACAGCGAAATGCCAAAATTAACACGGGAGTGTAACACGGGAGAAAACAAATGGAACAATAAGAACTGCCCCCCTCCCCCGAGAGGCTCTCCGGATTCTATCAGGCAGGGTTATGACCTCAGTAAGCTACATAACACAGGAACAGTGGAGACCGCGGTCTCCGACAACCATGGGATAAAACCGGAGATTAATGAACTTAACCAAAGAATATTCCATTTGCAGTTCAGATCGTTTTAGGAGCATCTAAAGGAAACTAGTTTACTTAATAATCATATATAGCCCTGCTGTGTCACTAAACTGGCAGGAAACACAATGAGATGGAAATCTTTCAAGTGGCGGGACGAAAAGAGCCATCCGTGCAGTGACCTGCTTCTTCCAGCACCAGCAGCTTTCGGAGCCGGGGATGCCAAGCACTGCGTGGAGTTAGACGTGAGACATGAGGAGAGTCCCAGGGAGGCGACACGCTGCTGTTCCCTTTGCAAACACAGCTGATGTCAGGAGGGAGGGAGATGGAGATGAAGTTAGGGATGCGATTCCTTGCCTCACCTCCACGGCCTTCCCTCGCTGCGCGACCCACTTAGCAACAACAGAAGCAAAGGTTCCAACGTCTTGCTGAGCCGCCCGCCACAACAAATCAGCTTCACAGGATGAGTCCCCGGGGACGTCACTGCCCCTTCTGGCACAGGCCAGACAAAAGAAGCCCATTCAGCTGCGAACTACACCCACGCACACACACACACTCACACGTGTGCATGGGGCAAACACAGCTCGTGCCGTTTGCCGAGCTCAGCAAGGGGCCGGGGCTTCACCAGATGGTTTGAAACGTCAGACAACTGGGAGGCAAAGCGCGCCCCACCTGCCGTTCGCTGGGCTTCCTCCACGCTCTCCTCTTGCCAGGAGCACGAGTGCGGAGAGGCTGATGAGGAAGGAGGAGGTTGGGGGCCGTGGGGGGTGGGTGTGGAGGACAGACCGGGAGCCACCTCGGGAGGCTGTTCAGGCCTCTGCAAGAACGGGGGCAGGTGGGTCTGTGGACGACAGGGCTGTGCGGGGGCCCTGAGATAAAGAGGCAAATCAGACAACAGGGATAAATCCTGACACTTTCACACAAGCCATCTGGCTCTGGTGTGGCAAAGAGATTGAAGGTGAAGAGGTACAGCAGAAAAGCCGGGCGAGAACTGAGGAGGCTAGGAGGGCCCATCCCTGGGGATTCAGTCTTACGAGGGAACCCAGGCCAGACCAGCAAACTGTCCCTCTAGTGGGAGACGCCCACACACGCGCAGGAACAGCCCATGCAGTACAGCGGGAGCGCAGTAAAGACGCGGAACACGCGACGGGCACCGCAGACACAGCAGCGTGTGTTGGTGAAACTGCGGCTGATACCTGGAGGTACACGCTCCCCTAAAGCCCGCAGAGAACAAACGAGAATCGGCAGAGTTCTAACTCACAGTGCAAGTGTCAACAGATTCTGAAGACACGAAATCAACAGACTGTGCTCTCCGCCCACCAGGCAATTAAACTAGAAACCATCAGCAAAGGGTAACTTTCCAATCCCCCTGAACATAACATTTTAAAAAAGCTTCTGGGGGCGTCTGGGTGGCACAGTTGGTTAAATGTCCAACTCTGGGTTTAGGCTCAGGTCATGATCTCAGGTAGTGAGCCCCACATGGGGTTATGTGCTCGGTGTGGACCTGCTTAAGATTCTCTCTCTCCCTCTCCCTCTGCCCCTCTCCACCCTGCTAGTGTGCTCACACACACTTCCTCTCTCAATAATAATAATAATAATAATAATCAGAAACTTCTAAGTAAGAAATGGATGGACTGACATAATGCAATTAGAAAATAACCAGACCAATAA